ACTTCCAAATATTCCATGTATTCGCGACCATCTTAAAGAACAAAATAAGAAATATCTTAACCAAAAGAAATATCTTAGGAAAAGATGTATTATAATAAAGGGTATATGATTCACTGTAATGATTGGGGAAGAGCAATAATGTTGAAATGAGACTTTTTGGATCAGGAAACTATATGACCCAATCACAGATAAGTAATCATGAACTTTTGATCTAAAGACCACTAGTTCAAATTTAATGTGTCTTTCTTTTCTTCCTTAATTTTTTTTTTTTAATAACGTGGCTTTCTTTGACTTGGAAAAGACATGAAAGGAGGTTGAAATAAACTTTTCCATTTTTTAACTGATTATCTTTTCATTGGGCTGTCATGAACTCAATTATTGTCGTAGAGATTCCTCAATTTTGGTATCTATAATTTCATGTTGCTTAAATTAATTAACATTTTCCATGTTTCACACAAAATAGTAGGAAATGTAAACCGGGCCTAATTCACATTGGAGGTGAAGACTTCAGTAAAACTTCCAACAATCTAAAAATCATAATTTGAAAATATAATAAGAAAAGAGAGGCCTCTAATCTAAATGGGCTATGGGCCCATATTTTATCAGTTAGTGTTGGTTTGTAAAACTAAACATCTCTTGCGACTGAAGTAACAATTTGAGAGAGAATGAGAAACTCTAAATGTCATTGGCTCACTAAATTTTTCCTCTTATCATAATCAATGTCATAAGTTAAGAACAAAAATAATCGAAAACATAGCTGTTAAAAGATTACATAACCAAGCAATTGTATGAAAGAATTCGAATCCCGGGAAAGTGTCGAAAATCATTCGGTTTTTCACCTTCTTTTACCGACGTACCTCTGAGACGCCGAACGTTTGTTTCTCGGGTTTGCTCCGAATTTGACGTGTTTTGTCTTTCCCTGCATCTTCTTGTACTCTCTTGATCTCAAAACCGCTTCCAAGATGTTAATGTCTTCGCGGATCTCGTGCCTAGAGAGCGACGTTAAGCTCGGGAGTATCTCTTTCTGGAAGTTCTTCATTCTTCTCCCTCTTCTTAGCTTGAGTCCAATCTCTTTGTTGTTATCTCTCGTGATGGTATTAAGCTCATCTAGAGCCATTGATGACACACAGCAGTCTTCTTCGGTGTTGGTTTCGCTTATTCCTAGTGTGTGTAGCTCATATGAATCGCATGAACACCCCGGTTCTGATTTACCCATCTCGGGTTTATCTGGAAAGTCTTGATCTCGAGATGAGCTGTTGGTTCTCGAGACGGGCTTTGATTGCAAGTCTTGATTTTGATATGAAATCGCTGATATGTGGACTAATGATTGAGCTGCCATTTGAATGATTTCAGACAACTCTTCCTCTTCGTTACAACATTCGTTCTCCAGTAAGACTTCCGTGGCAGAAAACTCAAGTCGGATACGGCAAGAAGGATCCAGTGCTCGAGGAGAGGAACTTCTTCTTGACTCGGTCCTCAAATTGTTTTCTGTGGTACAGCAAGAAGTATATGAAGCTGGAGATGCTGTACCGTCTTTTTCATGGACATTTTGGCATTTAGGAGAGCAAAGCGGTGTAGGACCATCATCTATTCCGCTCTTCTCACAGCTCGTTTCTGTCTCTTCGATATACGGACAGTTCAGATCTTGTAAGAAGAAGTGATGAGGCTCGGAAATCGACTCATCAACCGGGGTTTTGTTAAGATCCAATAAACCTTGGTCCTTATTAGTTGTTATATCACTATCATCCTCAACCAATGATTGATCCACCACCTTCAGTATGTTTGAGCTGATCCGATCAGACAAGAATGACGGTCTTGTTTCAGGATTTCTCACAGTAACATAGCTAACAGAAGCCTCATGCTCTGTTTCGGGAAGTTCCTCAAGATCAATAACAATTTTTGGGTTTCTCTTCCCACCCCAATTCGTGGCTGATGCTTCATTCGCCTTATTAGCTTCAAGCCTCGAATGAAATCCTAATTCTACCGTATTTCGGGAACCACAAATACCGTAAACTTTTCCAGAATCAAGTGTCTCATGAAGGTTGCTATAAGAGTAATGATCTGCAGGAAGTCGAAGATCGATATCTTTCATCAGAAGCTTAGGTGAGTTTATCCTCATATATCCATCATCGGACTTGGAGCTCTCGCTTTTCACCTGATACACCTGAGATGGAAAACTTATGAACAATCTATTCTACAGTGTGTCTTAACAACAAACATCAAAATGAACAAAAAGGTCGAAACTTGGACTTAACTAGAATCTGAAAAAAAGCTACATTATATACCTGTCTCCCAAATAGAGTGACCATACTGATTGGATTCTGCTTAGAAGTCTCTTTATATGATACAACATGTTTCTGTGACAACACTTCTTCTTTAGACAAACCGAAGAAATACATTGCTCCTCCGCCTGCTCTACCTCTTCAATTCTATGGCCCGTCCCTATCAAATGCGAACAATGCATATACAAACGGAAAAAAATAATGAGATGATCAATAACTAAAATCAAACCGTTAAAAGGATCAACATGAACATTCTAAACACAAATAGAAACCAACATCAGTTCCTAGTGAACTTCATGAATAAGAGTTTTCACATAGCACTAAACACATTATATAGAGCATAAACAGAATCAAAAACAAGATCAAAGCTCATGAAAGCAGAGCAACAACAATGTTCATAAGTGGACCAATTGATCAAATGAAAAAAACACAAAACTTTCCTGGTGATATTAACAAAGGAATCAATATCAGAATGATCATCCACACACACAAATTCTAAAAACCTCTGCCAAACCCTCCTAATAATATTAGACCCAATTGATGAAACTTAAACCTACAATGATCATCCCCCACACACACAAAAAAAGAGCTCCAAACTTCTGATTATAAATTTCAGTATTCATCAAAACATGCAAATAAGTAATGCTATAATGAAAGATTCCATAAACGCTTTACAAGAATTTTCCAGAAAAGGAACCATAAGC